CAAGTCGTGCGTCTCTAAGTAGTCAGTTACGGTCACGGCGTCGGCGCGGAAGGGTTTGGGGTTAGATTTCTTAGCCGCGAATGAACCATTTCCGCTGCCGTTCGGGCAGTATCTCAGCTAGGACCTCCTCATCAATTTTCAGGCAGAAAACCAATGTGCCCAGATTTGCCTGGACACTGCCTTTAAACTATGGAACTGGAATAGAGGATGATCGATTACCTTTATCGGCTTGAATTATCTTTTGGCAAACTGTGAGCTACGAGATTTTATCGAACTTTGAGCTATTATACACGGGAGAGGACGCAAATGAGCACGCTAATTACGAAGCGCTATAGGGCGGGAAACCGGCCCCTTGAAATATAAGTAAACTGACAAACAGGCCATTGAAATATAAGTAAAAGTAAAGAAATGGGAGAGGGAAATGTAGTACAAAAGTGCTGCGCAGTACGGAGCTTTATCATCGTCAACAGGGTTTAGCTATAAAATTTAGCAGTGACCTGTTTTCACTTGTACATGATTGAAATCATTTCTGAAACTCTTAAAAAAACGAGCTAGGTTTGCAAGGCAATTTCGGGGCTATAAGAAGGCTTTCTTTGAGGGGAGGAGGAGAAGTGCATAGTTGGCGCCCATCACATTCACTAAAAAATCTGCTGTTTTCTCCTCCCTTCGAACAAAATCGGATCGTCACTGCTTCCTAGTATTTTTTGTAAAAGCATCTAGGGTTTTGAGGGTAAGCAACGATTTTTTTCTCACAAAGTATTCCTTCTTGCGAAGCACCTCCGCTCTGACTTGTGAGCGACTGACACTTATTTGCGTCTAGTTAAAGCTGCAGTGAATAAGATTTTTTAATGTTTCAGATTCTAGTACTACTGAATCTACGTTTTAGGATGTGCTGGATCTCAAGGAGAGATTTGACGAATTTCTTTTGATGTCCTTCCAACGCGATAAAGCGTTCAAGAATATCATTCAAGCTGAATTTGAAACTTTCGTCAATCTCAACAAGAATAGCCCGGAATATCTGTCACTTTATATGGACGAGAAATTACGAAAGGGATTCAAAACGGTCAGCGGCTTACTTTTTCCTCTACTGATTATGTGTTTTCATCATGGGCCATGCGTGAGCAGAATGAGAGACAATTTCTTTCCCCCATTTCCTTTCTGCAGTCAGTGACTGCAAGCCATTACCTATTATGACTGTGAGGGGCCTTGACTTCTAATTCAAATGTAATAGACGATTTATGCTTGGCTGGGAGATTCTGGGTTTTTTGGTCTATTTAAGTCTTTCAAGTGATGTGGAGCTTCCATGACTGCAGTACTAGGACTTACAACAAACTTAACATGGTGTTTATGAGCATTTCATATATCTGTCAAGCGCGATGTGAGATTACGGTAATGGTCGTAGATGAGTCATACCACGAAGTTATCTGCG